TGGTTTGATCAAGCAAGGCGAGGAAATAAAAAATGGGTTTTCTCGAACTCGGTAGTTATGTGCCGCTGAAAGATCTCAGAGTTGAAATCAGTGAGGTTGAAGGAAGAGGAGCAAATGGGGGTTTCACTCTGTGTTTCTGGCTTTACCTAAACAACGCCACTCCTCTACCTTCCGCAATTCTTCTTCAGGTTCATCTCAGATTTCCTAAACTTTTCTGTATTTTCTTGTTTTTTGTGTGTTCATAATATGTAAATGCATGCTGCTATTAGTTATTTAGTTTCACGTTTCCCGTTTGGATGTGTGGAATAAACCCTTTCTAGATGTATTTGTCTGAGTTTGATTTTGAAACTAAAATGATTGTAGATATAGTTAGTATTGATTATTTGTTTCTTAATGTTTTGATTGATAAAAGATCTTTTTTTGAGGAAAAAGAGATTTTGGATGGTCTTTAGTTTCCACATACTCTTTTTGAGGGGCTTCATTACACTTCTGAAATGATTGATTTATGTTTTTGATGTGGAAGGTAGCAATTTCAGAATTGTTTTATTTTAGTAATTGGAAATTGGCTATCGGTCTAACTGTATGGTACACTTTCAAGAAGTCTTGTGATTGAATCTCTGTGTCTAGATTTCGGAAAGTTTGATGTGAAGTATGTAGACTTGATATTCTAATCATCATTATACTTGAAGCCTTAGATCATGATTGTTTTTATAAACTCGAAGCTTTCAAATATTCATATGTTGCACTCAATGAAGCTCTCCTTTTCCAGTGTACATTGAAAAGCTCTCTCCCTACTGTTTCTGTATGTCTGTGCACAACTTATTTCCTTTTTCCAGATTCTTATGAGCAAGAATCACAATTTCATGATTCTTTGTAGTTGACTCTTGAAAGAAGATTGATTAATTTCTTGATTTCTGTCATGCAGGAGCACCCAGATATTGCTTGCAATGCTCCTTTCCTCATACTAGATGAACAGAACAGAATAATGATTTTTCCATTGTTTTTTCTACACCAAGAGGCTTCAGTGGCTTCTAATGCTATTTCGTGGAAACAAGTTCCTAGTGCATCTACCAAAAAGCAATTCCCAGTGAAGAAGTGGGTTCATATTTCTTGTGAGGTGCACATCGGTTGTATACATATATATTCCTTCTGTCCATAATCATGACCTTTTATGGTTTTCATATTTGAGCAGATTGTCTTTTTATGTATGCGTTTGCATGTTAAGAGTGAGAATCTGTTATGATATTATCTACTATGTAGCTTCTATCAAATTTGATTGTTGATATATTTTTGCTTGCATATACTCTAGCGTTGTTTACCTCTTTCACACATGCTCATCTTACAAATACATGAGTGTGTGTGTGTGTGTGTGTGTGTGTGTGTCTTCAGATCTCACAGGTTCTTCTGCGACTTCACATTGATGGGGAGATTATTGGCGAAATGCATTCAACTTCCCCTGTTAATAGTGATTTTCATTCTGATATTTCAAGAAAGGTATCCCTCTGTTGCATAAAGGGAAACAATGGTGCGTTGCAAGGATACATGTATGGTTTAGGACTCTTTTCCGAAGTGCCTTCTATTCAAAGCCACTGCTTTAAGGTTTTCCATTTATGAATTAAATTAGTGCATATGCATTCCTGTTGATGTCGTCCTTGCTCACATTTCCCATATATGCAGGACAGCCCAATACAACTATCCATTGATAGTTCTAGTGCCTATGAAATTGATGAAGATGTTGATGGTGTATGGAACATTGTTGGTGGGAAGGTTAAGAACATGATAATGTTTCTCTTCTGTTTCTGTGTTTTTCTCATGTCCATTGCCAATGGAGTGAAAAAGTCATTTTTGACAATTCTTTTTTAGCTCCAAGTGAATAATGCACTTAATCCAAATGAATCATTAAACTTTCTTGCTTCTTACTTTCAATGAAGTTTTGGGTAGTAAATGCTATAATGCATCAAGGGTGTAACGAAAATAGTCTCTCTCTTTTTCTAAGGGTAAGGCTATTTACAGACGCCCAGACCCCAATGGGGTTGGGATTTTATTGGGTTTGTTGCTCCTGTTGTTGTACTGCTGTTTTCTCCTTTTTGTACCTTTTATATCTTCTTAGTTTCTCTAGTTGTTTCTTTATAAATTGTCTATCTTTGTTTTTTTTTTTAAAAAAAGGCATCTTGTCGCAAGAAGTTTTCATTAGACGTGATGCTACTAGACGCCCTTGGAAGGCCAGTAAACGAAGAAGGGGAGGTTCGGCCTCTGCCTTTTATTCATTTTATGAGTTAACTTTGTAAAGTCAAAACTGCCAGTGATCAATGTGTATGTCCATGTCTTACCAATACCATCAGGTTGTTGCTTCACTTGTGTATGCCGATTCAGAAGAACCTGTTGAGAAGCCATCTGATGCTGAAGCTCCACTCCTTTCAAGTTATGATGGAGTCGAATCCACTTCATCTGATAGACCAAGCAAACTGATTCAGGGGCGTGCTTCTTTTAAGCTCAAGATATCTCAGGTATTCAATGTTTGACTTCCAATTCTTTTAACTGAGTTTAAAGGGATGTACTACAAGCTGTGAAAATACTTAAGATGCCAGGCTACATGTAGATGTTTTGATTATCATAGAACTATAGAAGAATACTTTTGAGTTCGCATTTTCCTTTCACATATCATTTTCCATACTTTTCCTTCATCTCCGATGTAGCCAAAGATTCACTATTTTGGCTTTTGGGTATGGGGGAATAGAGCAAAATGGCTATTTAAAGTGTCTGCGCTTTTTTCAACAGTGAAGTAGCAGTTAGTCAATGCAACTTTCGACGCTCCTCATGGGTCATCAGGAACCAGCTGCTCTATGTTTTAAACATAGGGGCTAGACTGCATCCATCCGACCCCCCTAGCCCGCAATGGGCGGGAGCCTTTGAGGCACTGGGGTAATGCTGTTGTTGTTGTTGTATATCATTTTCCATACTAATGACTTGTTTGGTTTGTAGAAAAAGTAAGAAGAGTGGAAGTGGTGAGGAAAATAAGGGAAGAGAGAAAGGGATGATCAGTGTGGTGGATTGTAAATTCACTAATTTGTGTTTGTATAAGAGAAAAAGGAAGAAAATATGAGAGAAAAAGGGTGCTTTAATATAAAAATAAATAATTATATTTATGAAATGATAAGTACCCTCAATACAACAACAATAACCCATTATAATCCGAACACCGTTGGGACTTGGGGTCTCGACTCTCGAGAGTCGAGATGTATGCAGCCTTGTCCATGTAAAATCAGAGTGTCAGTTTCCATTAGACCCTAGATGTATTGTTGCATTTACTGCTCAAAGCATCATAGAGAGTAAGAATTTAAATGTGTTTTATTTATTTAGTCCACTATATGCCCGACACTAAAACATTGTCAATGATGACTCTTCTAGCTTCATTAGCAATGGACGGAAAAAGGTTATGTGCGAGAAAATGAAGAGAAAGCCTTCTTTCTTCACACCAAAGGAGAGAGGGGTTTGAGTGGACCCAATGTTTTTTTTAATTTCAATTTCTTTAATTCTTCTCCTACCAGATATGAGAAAGCCTTTTTGTTTCTCTCCTAATTATCTCCTTCCTCTTTCTTTCATCCCTCAATCGCTTATCCACATGTCCTAACAGATGCGAAAGGAAGAATTTACTACCCCCGCTTTCCTGAAATTAGATGCTTCTTTTTAAAACCTCATTTCTTTGTATTACATGAGATATCAATCACCCTGTATGCTTCTGCTCTTCTATAACACGAAGGTCATGAGTTGTAATGCATATTTGTTTCCAAAATGATGCTTATTTTGTTGAATGGCATCACAGAGGTAGAGCATGTATTGATTATTATCTTTTTCTCCTGACCTCAGCTCTCTTCCAAGTGTAATAATAGGCTCTTCCGTGTTAAGTTTTACATTCCGAAGATGGGCAGATATCCTTTTTTTGAGGCGCTCTCCACACCAATTCGATGTGTATCCCGGTGCCGTCCCGTAAGGTCATCTTCTGCAACATGGAAGAAGTCACCGTCTTCTATCCATTCATTAAATAGATCCCAATCTCCTGTGTTGGATGGTGGAGCATCTGATGTTCTCTATAACATTGTTCATGAAGCAAAGCAGAGTCCTTCATCAAAGCGAGTGAAATTAGGGCAAGATATATCTCTCTCACTTTTGAAGGATGAGGATGATTGTATGTTGAAGGAAGCTGAGGTGGAATCAAACTCTCATGTCTGGACCACTACTAATGAGGTAAGCCTTTATTAATTCCCTTAAAATCTCTATTTTGTCTCACACACACACGTAAGGGCTAAGGCATTAGAATCTGAACATTTTGATGCACTATTTAATTTAAAACAAGGACAATGTTGCATGTATGAACGGTATTGTGGGGAGGGAAGAAAGTCATGACGATGGAGCAGAGAACTTTTCATTTGATTCTGAGAACAGTGAAGCAACAAATTTAGTTCCAGGAAACTTCTCTCCTCGCATGGGTCCAATTTCAGATCTGGTGGTTTTCAAATATTGCATTGGTGGCGTCAGTGAGAGGTGTGGTCTGCTCAAGGAACTCGCGTTGACTTATGAAGATGAGGCACTTGGTAGCTTTTCCGAGCAGGTTTCTTTGTTCACTGGATGTTCACATCACAAGTATGTTTTTCGTTCACTAAATTGTATTTCCCGTTCTCTAAAAGTGGCTCAGTTCTTTCTCACAATAGTAACAAGGCAGCCATTCCATAATCCATATTGATTGATTAGCACCAGATTTGTACTGAAGAATGCAAACTCTTTTTCAGGCGCCAAATACTAATGTCGAAGAGACTTATTGACATTGGTATCAAGTGTTGGACCTTGATATCGAAAAGCAGCGAAAATGTCCTCTGGGATGATATGATATCCTGGCTTAAGGACCATTTCTTGAAGTTAACATTCTGTAGAACAAGATGCTTAACAAGACAGGTAAAAACTCTCCACCCGGATTCATTCTCCATTTGTCCCCCGACTTTTGAAATATAAATTATTGTGTACGTAGTATCATAACTATAATTATTGAAACTAACTTCAAATTTGTTCTTTTGGGTCTCAACTATCTTATTTGCCTCTCATCATCATCATCATTATTTGTTATTTCCACCTGCATGTAAAAATATCACGAGACAATGCATGGCTATGAGTGACAAAAAATGGAATTTCAAAAGAATGACACTTATGGAAATGCATAACAGGACTTTGAGATTTTGAGAAGAATAGCGGGTTGTCAAGACATGACAGTTTGTCAAGAAAACTTTGAAAAGATGTGGTGCTGGTTGTATCCCGTAGCTTTTACATTGTCTCAGAAACAGAGTAATTCATTGTGGAGTAGTGTGTCACCTAAGTGGATTGAAGGATTTATCACCAAGGAAGAAGCTGAGTCTTCCCTTCGACAAGGCCCTGGAGGAGGAGGAGGTCTCCAACCCCCGGGAACTTTCATATTGCGTTTTCCTACGTCAAGGAGCTGGCCCCACCCTGATGCCGGAACTCTCCTTGTCACTTATGTCGCTACTGACTATACCATTCATCACCGCCTCTTGTCTCCTGATTACTATCTTTACAGGCATGCATACGTATTTTCTACCTTTTTATCTCAATCTTTTTTATTTTATTTTTTTACCTACTGTGTGTGTGTGTGTGTGTGTGTGTGTGTGTCTGTGTGTGTGTGTGTNTGTGTGTATGTGTGTATGTGTGTATGTGTGGTATGCATGTATGCATGTATGCATGTATGATTTTGTACTTTTATTTTGAATTTGTGATGATTTTGTACTTTTATTTTGAATTTTAACAAAAGCTCGGTACGCTTTCCCTGGGCTACCACACTGATTTTGGTGACATTACATGGACAAATGTATATATGCACACACACACACACATGTATGTATGTATGTATGTATGTATGTATGTATGTATGTATGTATGTATGTATGCATGCATGCATGCATGCATGCATGCATCCATGCATGGATGTATGTATGTATGTATGTATGTATACGTATGGATGGATGGATGGATGGATGCATGCATGGATGGATGCATGGATGCATGCATGGATGCATGGATGCATGTCTGTCTGTATACGTATGTATATATGGATGGATGGATGCATGCATGCATGTCTGTATACGTATGTATATATGTATACGTATGTAGGTATGTATGTACGTACGTACGTATGTATGTATGTATGTATGTATGTATGTATGTATGTATGTATGTATGTATGGATGCATGCATGCATGCATGTATGTATGTCTGTACGTACGTACGTACGTACGTAGGTAGGTAGGTAGGTACGTAGGTAGGTACGTACGTACGTATGTACGTAGGTATGTACGTATGTACGTAGGTAGGTACGTAGGTACGTACGTACGTACGTATGATATACCTACCTAGTGAAGACAAGAATATGACACCTCTTCCTCGTCCTCCCCGTTATATTTATTGTAGTTCCAAAGAAATGTCCGATCGATCTATACAAGAAATGCTGCTTACAGAGCCCGAGTTGTCTTGCTTGGGAAGGTAAGATCCTTAATCCTTTCAGCCCGAGTTGTCCTACTTTAATGTTTTCTTTTTGGCAATATGGTTTTTAAAAAAATGCAGGGCAATGAGAAGGCAATAGTTGGTTTGAAATTCAACTTGTTGCCTCTATAGTAGTCTCGAGAGATTGATCGGATGATCTCAGACGCACAAAATGCTTCTTGTGTCATTGGTCACGGATTAAACGGGAGGAAAATTGAGGTGAAGGTGTGGCTGCATGATTATGATGGGAAGAGGGAGTGGGAGCATATTCCTTGTATATCTTAGACTAAAACTTATACTTGACATTATTGGGGTCCTTATTTGTAAACATAACCTAACACTCCAACCCGCGTAGCCCAGATACACGGACCAACAAATCGGGTTGTCACTAAAATGATATCCCAACACGGTAATTTTCAAAACAAGTTTAAAGATTTAATTCAAAATAATATTTAAAAATCCATCAGAGTTAACAAAAATGGCGCGGAAGCTTTATGTCAAACACAATTTTGGGTTTTTGCCCTGAAATATACTCCCTCCGTCCCTCATAGATCTTCTCAATAGTCCTTTTTCTTTGTCCACAATAGATCTTTTCATTTCATTTTTTAACAATCAAAATACCATAACTACTCCCACTTACTTTATTTATTACACCTCACCCACCTCATTTAATACACTCAACCCATATTTCATTAAGGGTATTATGGTAAACTTTCACCCTTTTTCAACTCTCCTTAAAAACTACCAAAAGTCAAAATGAGAACATCTTAGGGGGACGGAGGAAGTACTAAACTCAAATATAATATTAATTTAAATAAACTCCTTCATCCAGCATCCATCCATCTCCTCACTCTCGCTGCCTTCCAAGATTATTTCCTTATTCTTCGTTCCTGATACTTACGTGTAGCAAAGAGAAAAAAAGGCTACACACTCAGCATTGAAACTTAGTGAGTAATATCTAACATTCAACTATGTATATAGATGAACTCACTAGCTCATAAGTTGATAAAATATCATGTACACAAGTACAACATTAATAATATCAAACAATTCATAAATCAAACTAACTTACTTGGAATACCAAATTTATCTCATTCTTAACATAGGCATTTTTGACACAGAATTTATATGCAAAGTTCATATCTACATTTCCTTAATTCTAAGCTCATAACTATCTTAGGTTAAAACCAATTCTTTATTCTTTCTAGAATCTTGATTCAACCACATACATAGGAGAACCCGCTCGATACGACGTCATCCAACGTCGAGTAGGTGGGACCACCTACTCACATCCATGAATAGATCTACGAACCCCGTGCACACGCTTTACCCAACTGATCATGCGTGCACACCAACTCATCACATGACCAGTAACTTCTAACTGTATTCTTAGTCTGTTTCTCGGTTTACTTATAGTTCAGCGAAGTAGCATATCTGTATTCAAGTTCATAATTTTGTATTTCTAAACTCATACATATTCATATTAAAGTTCATAAACATACATACTTAACAATTAGCGGTCTAGTATCAGGTGTAAACACCTTCGACTTACTGTCATGCAGCACATAAGGTATCAGAATCAATCCGCGACTCAAATCGAAACAAACAAACAAATAACGAGCATACAGTTGCGAGTATGGTATCTGTTACAGTACCTTGGTAGCGCCAAGCGATACCTTGGTACCGTCGGACCGGTAGCCCCCTACCGCCCGGGCACAGGTACTAGCAGAGAAATTCCCTCTGTGGCGGTAGCAGGATACCACTAGGCGGTAGACGTCGGGAAATCACCGAAACAGCTGAGTTTGATCTAATTCCAAACCATTCAACACATATAATATTTTTAAAGGTTATTGACACACAAACCATGCAAATTGAAGTAAGAAAAGGCCTTCTTCGATCAATCAATGAATCAATTCACAAATATATAATAATTAAACATTCATAATCATGCAATTTACATAAACAAATCCACAATTGGCTATGTACACAAATTAACGCTATCTATGATTTCTATGCTAAAACAAACCCACGAACTCATTCTCCCAAACAATTATCAAATTCCACATAATCAATCATACGAGATTACGATTGTGAATTTTAAATCTATACGAACAATCTAGCGTTAGATGTCCACATACTAACATACTCACTTTGATTATTTGACAGATAAAAAACAAATCAATGAATCCAATTGACGAGGAGGACTTCGAAGATCACAGCGGCGGCGTCGCAGTGGTCGGCTGCCTTCCTGCTCCTTCTCCTCGCGGCTCTATTCTTTCTCTGTTCCTAGCACTCCGTAATTGTTTGCCTTTTTTTTCCTTTGCTGGTGCGCATTTGGATGTAGTTATAGGGTTGTAGGGAAGGGTAGGATACGGGCAGGATTAAGAAATAGATTTGGGAAATAATATTTTGTACTTCCTCCGTCCACAAATAAACTTCTCGTTCACTATTCACATTGTCAAACTTTATTCACTTTGTGTGTCTATTTTCATCACTCATTTGATAAAATAATAGTCATGTCATCTCTAATTTTGTACTCCCTCCGTCCCACTTTAGATTACAATATTCCCTTTTTGTTGAAATTAAGAAAGAGTCAAATCAAATTTTTTCCCCCAAATTACCCCCCAAGTGGCCCACTCACATGGATGAATAGTGTGTGAATAGTGTAGGAGTGGGAGGGTAAAAGAGTCAATTCTTTGTAAAGTTATTGACTTTGTAATTCTTTTTGAGACAAAAATATGAGAGAATATTGTAATCTATTTCGGGACGGAGGGAGTATATTTTTTGTAGATCTTTTGATATAGTATTTCAATATGTAATTCTTATTTTTAAATTTTACACCATTTTTCATATAAAATGATTTGAAAATAACTTCAGTCAAACATCGTAACATGCAGCGGAAAATTTATTCGTGGACGGAAGAAGTATTATTTATTATAAAATCTTTATAGCATGAGGGGTAGTGGGCTTGGGTTTACGGGGGTAGACTCATTATGCTTTACACGAAAGTCTAAACTTAACAAATTATATATCGTTAGTTATCATTTTACAAGATCTATCCAAAAATCTAAATTTCAATAAAAAAGCTTAACTTTACAAATATCTATATTTTAGGGTCAGAAAATAGTATATTTATTTTTTACTCTTAAGCTAGTTTTCGGGTTGTTACATTTCTTCCCCCCTTAAAAAAAAATTTCGTCCTCGAAATTCCTTAGTCTAACGTCAACTCAAAAGACATGCAAACAGATTTCATAGATAAGCACATGTAAGTCAGCTAATCGCAGTCTAATTTATGAAGCATACTAATGGATATTCGGGCCTAATAAACGCGAATGAACGGCCCAATCCACAGGAGCGACTTGGTCCGGTGCAGAACGAGGGCTGCTGAACTAGATATAAAAAGACATAGTTTCCGTCAATTGGCCCAAACGTATAATGAAGGTACCGAACAATGCAAGGACGTGGAAAGACTAGGGGTTGAGATGATGTACACTACGATCGGGGTCTGAGAGAAAATGGCGAGATTTATGCGCACGGTGAGTGCCCATTATGTATGTAATTGAAATGTAGTATAAATAGAGGGAGAACCCTCCATTATAAAGCAAGTGAAAATGTAATAGCCCAAATATCGGCTTAGTAATTAGCCGTTATTTTAATAAAAATAAAAATAATATTTATTTACTCAAAAATATGAATTATTTTTAAAGTTATCCGTTTTAAATAAAAATTAGGTTTTAAAGTTCATCAAATTTGGACATATGTGCAAAACATGGTGAGTAAAATAAACATTACAATTCAATAAATAAATATAAAGATTTTATAATAAAATAATAACAAATTAATATAATGCTCCTAATTCTACCCATAGAAGGATTCCCAAACCCTCCCCAACCACTACTATATACCCCGGAGTATATATACTACTGTATTATTTATCCTATGCCATGCACAGGGTTGAATGCATGTTATTTTGAACTCTGTTTATTTTTTGTTTTAAGTAAATAATTAAAAAATAAAGGTAAATATAATATATAATGTATACGACATAAACAGAGTATGCTAATTAAAATTCATGCATATAAAAATTGAAAAGAATGTATAAATGTATCAATTAAATCCAAATTTTTTGAAAAACTTCAAGGTAAACCACATTTTTGGTGCAATTGCAAGGGTTACCGTTGCCATGTAAAACTAACACTTTCAATTCTTTCTTAGTTTTCACTCGTGAAACTGCAACATAAAGTTGACCATGAGTGAATACCGATTTGGTCAAGAATAATCCAACAAATGATAAAATTTAGCCTTGACATTATTAATTTCTTCCATTTGATAAAGAATAATCCAACAAATGATAAAGAATGATTTTTGGCAGCCACTACACTCATTATTATGCTCCATTATTTTTCCTATGAATTTCTTCCATTTAAGCTTAACCAAATTGGGACCGTAAATTGGGGCTAAATTTTTTTTATTCATTTAAGCTTAAACAATTCTCTTGCACAATGAAAGGGATCTAGTTATGCATAACAGCAGAAGTATATCCCTATAAGTATTTTAGAAGTAATATGATCACTTTATGAGTTTATGGTAGTTTCTTTTATGATTCCTTTATGTCTTTTTTACATGCCCTCTCTCCCCATTTATCCACATATTTTAGGACCTTTTTTGGAGGATTCAAATATTCAAATAAATGGATGATATGCACAGATTGCTACAAATTAAACTACTCAAACATTTCCTCAAATGCAGTTCTGAAATGTACACACTTTTTTTCAAACAATCAAAGAAGATGTTGCAGCTGCTAGCAAAATGCTTAACAAAAACTAGGGTCTGAGTGCAAAAAAACACACAGAGTGATAGAGCAGATCTTAAAAAATGCTCCCCTCAAAGTTTTTTTTTAAAAAATACAGAGTGCAACACGGGTGACTAATTGATTTGTCAAAAAAATAAAAAAATAAAGAAAAAAACATATTGAAGGGGAAAAAACAAGTCTGGAACTTGGAAGTATAAACAGAGGACCATAATATAGACTGAAATTCTAATATAGACTGGATTTCTCAAGCCAGAGGATCATATTCATACAAAAAAATTACATAATAAAAAAGAAATTCATTATAGTTCATTGGGGATAGAGAAGATCTTACTGTGAAGGCTTGAGGACGATGGAGGGAAGTTGGAGAAGAGAAAAACCTGCATCCACGGAGGAGGAGATCGAGAAATTTGCCGAAGAAGAGAAGAGCGGTAGGAGGAGACCTAGAAGATGAGGCGAAAGAAGAGGCTTTTGATTCCAAGCAAAATCCCTGGCCCTTTCTTTGGATTTGCTAGAAACTTTTTTATTTATATTTCAGCCTAAGAATCCACCACAATCTATTTTTTACAACAATTCTTGAAAATCTATTATTTTCTCAATTCATTAGATTTAGAAAGATTTTTTAAAATCTCATACCTCAAAATTTTAAATAATTTTTTAAAATCCCAATTGAATACCTATTGACTTTTAAAATCCAAAAAATCTTACAAAGTCAGGATTGAATACACCTCCCTTAATTTAAGGTAAATGAAGTACTCCGTATATGTTAATTTTTTATTTTTATGTTTAAAAACGAAAAAAAATTAGTTTCCAATATGAAAAATAAGAGAAAAAAAGAAAAGCAATTAAGAAAAAAGTGTGGGGGCGTTGGTTTCCATTTCTAAAACCATAGTAGTGACAAAGTTATTCACCTAAGATTTGAAAGTTATTTTTGTTTTGGTGTATAAATGACAGTAGAATGAGGGACAACAACATAAGTTTTGATACCATGTAGGGGTAATGTTATACATTTATCAAACCACAGACAATATTGGTGGAATAAACTTATAAAAACTTTAGATGTATCACACATACATACAGACAACAATAATTATCTATGTAGTGCATAATCTGCATTGATAATTAGTGTGTGTATATCTTTATGATAACCCAAAAAATTAAGTTCCTCTCATTACGAACACAACACATCCACTTTTTTCTTTTTTCTTTTTTTTGAAATGGTTGGCGTTATCAATGGATGATTGGATAGATTAAGATTATTAGTTGAATACTTACAGATCTTCTCCCAATGGGAAATGGCCGAATCGTCGCACTCTCCATCACAGTCTGCGTGGTCTCCTTCGTGATCTCGAAGATTGTGATTGCGGTCCTCTGCTATCGCCGATGGAGGATAAAACACATGGCGGAGGTCCGCCACTGTTTGTCAGATATGGCGGCCGGCGGCGGGAAGCTATTGTTGTTCAGAACGGCGAAGACGAATGCATTAAAGTCTGAGGCGGTAGTGAATAGGGTGATGAAGCTGGAAAGCAAAGACGTTATCGGATCTGGAGGTTTTGGGACAGTTTACAAGGTGGTGATGGAGGAAGAAGGCGTGAGTTTCGCCATTAAAAGGCTGAACAGGATTAGCGCGGAGGAGGACAGGGGGTTTGAGAGGGAACTGGAGGCCATGGCTGATATCAAACACAGGAACATTGTCACACTCCATGGATACTATTCTTCCCCTCACTATAACCTTCTCATCTATGAGCTCATGCCTAATGGGAGCTTGGATAAAATGCTTCATGGTATGTCAGACATCATTTACTTAGCAATTGATCTGTGTTTTATGAACAAGGATAGAAATAATACTCCGTATATAAATTTTTTTGTATGACTAAAATATTTCTGTGTTCCAATTTATGTCCATTCCAATTTATGGCCATTTCCTTTGCTTTAAATATCAACATATTGATCTTTTAGCATCAGTTACTCTTCTTTTAAGGCATTGTTTTTATCTTCTTATTAGGCATGGACTGTACTATTATACTTGTTAAAAACCCTGGATGGAACCCAAACCTTAGTAATGTGTAACAATGGAAATCTTCCCTTTACTAATTATCTCCAAAAATTCAATGATGATGTTGCAGATAAAAGTCCAATCAAGAAGGTTTTGGACTGGGAATCAAGATTGAGAATTGCTGTGGGAGCTGCAAGGGGATTATCATATCTGCATCATGATTGCATTCCTCACATAATCCACCGTGACATCAAGTCCAGCAACATATTGCTGGACCAGAACATGGAGGCTCAAGTCTCTGATTTCGGACTTGCCACTCTTATGGAACCAAACAAGACTCATGTTTCAACTCTGGTTGCTGGAACCTTTGGCTACTTGCCTCCTGGTACTTAAAAATCATATATAAATAAATACCTAATCCGAATTGGTTCTCATAATTTTCATACAGACTTGGTTGTTTGCAGAGTACTTTGAAACCGGAAAAGCGACTGTGAAAGGAGACATTTACAGCTTCGGAGTGGTCCTTCTAGAGCTTATAACGGGAAGAAGGCCGACAGATGAAGCATTTGTGGAAGCAGGAACCAAGCTAGTGGGCTGGGTTAAGGCTGTTGTTGCAGACAAGAGGGAAGAGTATGTAGTTGACCACAACTTGGCTGAGTGCCGAACAGGTGAGATAACCCAATTTTTTAATGTTGCAATGATGTGCCTCGAGTATGAGCCATCCAAGAGACCTACCATGGCTGAGGTTGTCAAGATGCTTGAACAAATAAAGCTTGATGGTTTGGTATGAGTTATTGATTTCAAAAGGTGCATGTACAAGGAGTAACAATGTATAATGAATTTATTTACATTGGTTCAAGGAATTTGAGAGAGAAAGGAAAAGAAAATGAGAAGAAAAATGTTTTTCTAGTTTGGTTAGAGAGGGAAAAAAAAGAAAAGTGGAAGGAAAAAAAGAGAAGACAAAATGTACTAAGAGGATGGAAAACTAAATTCCTCCTATTTTGGTGAGGGAATTGAGGGAAAATCATTATATTCTATTTCCTTTTCCTTTCAAATTCCTTGAACCAAACACACTTTTAAGGTCTCTTTTTTTTAGATTATGGAACCTGAACACTACATGGTTTGGTAATCAAGATTTTTTCAGAAAATTTCAGGATCGGTTCTGTACTTGCACACCCCTACACATTTTAACTTCTATTTCAGAGATAAAAACACCGAACTCTTCTATTTTAGAGCATTTACAATGGGGCGGAATCTCGCCTGTGCCTCATTGCCTGCCAGCATTCTACACATTTTCAGTCCTGCCCCAAAACACCTACAATGTTATTGCCTTCCCACCTGCCTCTTTATTTCTTTTGTAATATTCATCATTTTTAATTCAAAACATATATAAATTTAATAAAAATATTTTTTTATAATTAAAAATAGAATAATTATTAAAAAAGAAAAAATAGATTGTAAAAATTTAAAAATATAAAAAATATAGATTGTCCAACGCCGGGTTTGCGGGAGGGGTGGCATATTATAACCCGTGGTCTTGGCCTTCCCCTTCACCTTCTTTGCCGCCTTCGTCTCGATCGGACGACTCGGGCTGTCTAGTTCCTTGCCCGATCCAAGGGGGAGTCGTCCCCCATGGCTTTGAGGTCGATGGAATGCCTGCCCCCGCTCATCGAGTACGAACTAGTCTCGGATAGTTTGGATCACTTCGGTCACGATCCTCTTATGTTTGCCTCGATGCTGAATTTGGGGCTCTTCTACAAATTTTTCCAGATTTCTTGAAACTTGAAAATCTTCTTCTCCGCTTCATAATAAAGGTCCAACGTTTTCGAGATAACTAGTATTTTGACTCGTGCCATGCACGGGATTGAACAAAATTGTTTGCGATTATGCAATTCAGAGTATTAAAATGTCATGACTATTTTATGAGGCATATTATTTAAACATCAAATATAAAGTATCTAAGTTTACTAAATTTCTAAAAACATATACTTCTTCTCCCTTGCATAAATTTTAAAAATGTTAATACAAAAAATTAGTGATCCTACGATTCTTCCCCCTAGCATTAATTCAAAACAAAAATCTCAAATACCAATCTTATTATACAATAATTAAGAAAAACATGATTCTCCTTCCCCACATTAATTTGTATTAGCAAAAAATATGATTAAAATAATCGTTTCGTGTCTGAATTCTAATGTAGAGATTAAAATGTATTTTAAAATTTTTATTTTACATCAACTGTTAAATATATTGAATAAAAACTAACTTCATTTCGGCATATCATAAAAAACTATGAAACTTATTTAGTGGTGAAGATAGTATCTTATTTATTCACTGAAAGTATTATTATAATTAAAGTGACAAAATATAAAATTAAGAAAGAATACTCTAAACATTGAAGAACTTTGTTCCATAAAACGGTAATAAAAGGTAAAATTTACTCAATGTTGGTGAAATTGTTAAGAGTAATCATGTGACATTATAAGTGAGGGTTTCCAATCGTCGCCACCATAGGTTGCGATGTCGTCACCGCGGATGGGCAGCCCTGCGACCCGAGCAAAGGTAGGCAAATCAATCTCTATGTCGTAGAGATAGGAGAGCGTATTTGATTTCTTTGAAAAGCTATTGATGATTGTTAATACAATTGGATCCTCATGCAAACGAAAGGATTTTCTCCTTCAAGTACACGAGGAGGAAACTTTGCATCGCATGTCATATAATTAGAAGTGTCATAATAAATAATTACGGAGTATATAATAATAAATATTTAAAAATAATGTACTTTTAAATTAATGTAAGTTTGTGGGGGCACAGCGGATAACACCAAACACAAGCTATGCAAACAAAACAATCAACTATGTTGTAGAGAATATGCTGCAACACTGTCACAGTAACAGATGACTGACAGAGTGCTATAACACCTTCTCTGTCACAAGCACACACGTAAAATATAAAGTGAAAACAGCAAGCAAGACACCAGAATTGTTCATGCAGTTCGGAGCAAATTCTCCTACGCCTGCAAGGCCCACGTCCGTGTAATAGCCCTTCCACTAAATCACCGTAAGAATTACACAATCAATCACAACAGAACCTTCTAATGTATTGATTTATCTACTTACGAATGACTTGACGACAAAATCGGTTTGCGTCTATCTCCACGGCTTGTTACACCTTCTCAAAGATCTTCTTCAAGGACGTAGATTCCAATACACCTTCAAATAAAGATTCTCCTTGATCTACAAAAATATGCAGGCTGTTCTGAAGCTCATAAATCGAGATTGAATCGCTGACATTCAATCTCCACCGTTCAGATTGAAGCTCCACGAGTCCTTAGACTCCTCCTAAAATTGCAGCACGATCAGACAAGATTTGGTACTCCGATCATCGACAAAACCAGAGCTGCGTTCTGTGCAAAGAATCAGCAACAATGTGTAGATTGTAACTTCGATAACAGACGATCCGTAACTCCGATTGACGTGAAATTTGAACACGTTGAAACCCTATGTGTTGGGAACACTCTCTGAATATTTCAGCAAAATCCAACGGTCGGATCTTCGGCGATGATCAAATCCGTGCGGGCTGTCCAGAAAATTTACAGTCTCAAAAACTGCACCTTGTTTTTTCTTTTAATCAGATTTGCTTCAGGTTTTTTGTAGTTTTGCATGCCCAAAAACCTAAGGGAGGGTGAAGATAATACATAGAGCATATTAACCTTGTTAGAGTGTGCTTAGGAGTCTCAACCATGCCTTCCTCCTCAAGAATAGTAAACCAAGTAGGATTAGACTTCTTTCTTCAAGCTCTTTCCTCTTTCTCTCTCTTCACATGCTAGAACTCTAAGTTTAAATAAAATATCTAAAATAATTCTAGGTAAATCTATTCGTTTGTCAAAAAATAATGCCAACACAATATGGAACTAACAATCTCCCCCTTTGGCAATTTTTTGACAAAAATGAATCTCAGCTGTTTTGAACCTTTTCTCCCCCTTTTTTGCATAAAAAATGCCAAAGGTTTTATTAAGAATATTGGGGCAAAAAGAGAAGAGTAACATTCAAGCGAGCTTGAGCATTACAATAATGAACATAAAAATAGACCTAGACTTTGTCACATCAACCTTTGCCACACTTGAGCGACTCCCCCTCGGATGATGCATCTGAAAAAGTAACAATGTGCAAAAATAAAGACATTTATGCAACCAGCAAAAATATCTATGCTCTAAGGTATTCCACGCTGGAGATGAAACACCTCTTAGAGCATCCTCTAAATCAGGTAGAGATGGGTGTGCACAGACCCAAACGGGATCTGAGTATACCAAAACGATTCCCATCAAATGCTCTTTTACACATGCCCAATGCCCGTTTTTTCATAGTCATAAACTTCACACTCTCATGGCTAGGAGGTGTCAGTTCATCACACTTATGAGATGATTTAGCACTCTTAGCAGCACAACGATCTATCTTCTTTTCTTCTTGATGCAAGCTCGCACTACTAACATGGCATTGATCAGAAGCAACATCCTTCACACAAGGATTATCACCTGTTTTGTACTGATTCTTAGGTACCCAAATCATCCTTGTTGTCACATTCTTTTTTCTGTATCTTTGCTCTTTAAAAATCTTGCATTTCCTCTGAATGTGTCCCCTTTTCCACAGCAAAAAAAAACATAATTAGCATAGACATTAGTATAAGAATACCTTTCAGGTTTAGCATAATGATCCTTGTGTCTTCTCATACTAGATTGTGTCACAACTCTTTGCCTTTTTGCATAGGGTGCTGCATAAATTGTTCCAGCAGAAGCTTCATGAGATGCTTCGGAAGAAGATGTTCCAGCAGATGCAACAGCTTCTGTTTTCCTTCCTTGTGGGACTTTTTGAGCAATTTCCTTTCTTCGATCAACAAACAAGTCAAGTGGGGTCTTATTGCTTTCGGAACCTGAAAATCCAAGACCCGTCTTGTCTCCATAAAATTTTGAAACGTTCACTTGTTCCTCAATAGCTTTTGCTCCAGCACTTCTCATCCACTTGTGAAAGTTTTTGAGTTGATTTAATTCATACTTGAGATCTGATTGTTGCCCTTTTAGTTCTTCAATCTTCTTTTCTAATTCTGAAATATCCTCTTTGAGTCTATTTCACTTGGCAACAAGATGATGGTTCTCCAAGACAGTTTTCTGGTTGGCTTGAACAAGTTCTACCCACTTCCTTTGGAGAATAGCTAGCTCTTCTACTGTGTCATCCTCTGTGTCATCTTCTGTATCATCCTCTGTGTCATCCTCTGCTGTAACTTTACCTTTGTATCTCTGTAACTCTTTGATGAGTTGTTCCACATCGCGTTTTGATTCAGCAAGTTCACGATTGAGGCTATCATTTTCCAAACATTTTTTCTTGTTGACCCGTAGAGACTCTTGAAATTTTTCTTCAACAATTATAAGCATCTCCTTTGGATCCACGTCACTATCAGAGTCACCGTCAACACTATGGAAAGTTGGAAAAGCACAGCATGTTCCAGCACTGTCTTTAACACACTGCTTCTCTTTTTCAACGAGGATGACATGCTGCTTTTTACGTCGTAGATCTTCATGCATCTCCAACTCAATGGTTTCTAAGTTCCCCATCAGCTCGTCAAGAGACATAACATTGAGAGATTGTGTTTGTCTAATAGCTTTAACATCCATAGAGTACTTTTCTGGAAGAGAACGTAGCACTTTCAACACCAGTTTATTTTCTGTAATTGGTTCACCAAGCCTTTCAGCTTCATTTGCCAACTCTCTAACCCGCCCATGAAAATTTGTGATAGACTCAGCATCCTCCATCTTAAGATTTTCAATTTTAGACATCACGATTTGAAGTTTGGCTGTCTTGACTGTTGTAGTGCCTTCATGAGTAATAAGCAAAATGTCCCAAGCTCTCTTCGCCTCTGTGCAGTTTGAGATAAGACGAAATTGATTTCTGTCAACAGCTCCGAAGATTGCATTCAAGGCTTGATCATTCGATTCTATTGTATCCTTTTCTTTCTTGTTAAATCTTTCATAAGGTTTCTGAATTAGTTTTCCATCTTCATTGGTCATAGTAGGAGCTGACCATCCAACCTCTATGCTTCTCCAAACCTCTCCACCAAGAGACTTGAGAAAGGCTCTCATTCGACACTTCCAAAAAGTATAATCATGGCCGCATAATAGTGGAGGCCTAAAAACATTAGCACCCTCTTGAATATCTCCCATGGTGATAGATCAATCAAGCTAATAACTTAAGCTTGCCAAGATCTGATACCAATTGTAAGTTCGTGGGGGTACAGCGGATAACACCAAACACAAGCTATGCAAACAAAACAATCAACTATGTTGTAGAGAATATGCTGCAGCACTGTCACAGTAACAGATGACTGACAGAGTGCTATAACACCTTCTCTGTCACAAACACACACGTAAAATATAAAGTAAAAACAGCAAGCAAGACACCAGAATTGTTCACGCAATTTGGAGCAAATTCTCCTACGTTTGCAAGGCCCACGTCCGTGTAATATCCCTCCCACTAAATCACCGTAAGAATGACGCAATCAATCACAACAGTGCTGCGTTCTGTGCAAAGAATCAGCAACAATGTGTAGATTGTAACTTTGATAACAAAAGATCCACAACTCCGATTGACCTGAAAGTTGAACACGTTGAAGCCCTATGTGTTGGGAACACTCTCTGAAAATTTCAGCAAAATCCAACGGTCGGATCTCCGACGATGATCAAATCCGTGCGGGCTGTCCAGAAAATTTATAGTCTCAAAATCCGCACCTTGTTTTTTCTTTTGATCGGATTTGCTTCAGGTTTTTTTGTAGTTTTGCATGCCCAAAAACCTAAGGGAGGGTGAAGATAATATATAGAGCATATTAACCTTGTTAGAGTGTGCTTAGGAGTCTCAACCATGCCTTCCTACTCAAGAATAGTAAACCAAGTAGGATTAAACTTCTTTCTTCAAACTCTTTCCTCTTTCCCTTTCTTCACATGCTAGAACTTTAAGTCTAAATAAAATATCTAAAATAATTCTAGGTAAATCTATTCGTTTGTCAAAAAATAATGCCAACACAATATGGAACTATCAATTAAATGATAAATAATACTTCCTCCATCCTAAAAGGCTAAAACATTCTTCTCAGTTCCCATTCACATGATCAAACTTTAATCACTTTCTTTATCTATTTTCTTCAGTTTACGATGTTTGACTAAAATTATTTTCAAATCATTTTATATGACAAATGATATAGAGTTAAAAAATAAAAATTACATATCAAAATACTACATCAAAAGATCTACAAAACTAGTAGTGACAACAATACTTTATTTTATCAAATTGCTAACGAAAATAGAGAAAGAAAGTGAATGAAGTTTGACCCTGTGAATAGTGAACAAACATTATTATTTGGGACGGAGGGAGTATAATTTTTTCACCTATTTTTTGTAGAACTTTTGATGTAGTTTTTTAAATATATAAATTTTATTTTTTAATGTTACACGTACAATCAAATAAATTAAATTAAAAATAAAATCGGTCAAACCTCATAAACAGAAATGGGAAAGACATTTTAGGACAGAGGAATAATTCATATAAGAACTACAGAGTATAAAGCATAAATTATCTACTTATCGGAACAAATCATAAGATCAATGTACTCAAACTACCAAATAATATCTATTACTTTTTTCTATTTTAGTTTTTTTGTAGTTCAGTTATCTCTTGTTTTATAGAATTCTTTTGTAGCTTTTAAAAATGAAATCATCAAAAATCGGAGTAAAACTAAAACTGAAGTAACATGTTTTTATTCCCAAAATAGAACATTACATAGTAACTGTGAGAGTCAAAATATTACCGTTTCATATTATTTATTGCTATTATTTGTGGACATTATCAGTACGGTAAGTCCTATCTTGAAAATAAAAATATGAAAGTAATTTCCAACAATTTTTTCATATGTTGTACTCTTATTTTAATATATTTCCATCTTTAAAGTATAAATATATGTTTAATTTTAAATTAAAATTTTAATAAATAGAATCAAAACTAACTTTTTTAATTTCAATGTATCATAGGAAAATATTAAGTTTATTTAGATGTGAAGAGAGTATCTTACTTATTATTTGAATGTTATGTTATAAATGAAGAAAAAAATAAAGAATTATGGAGGAATATAATAAAAAACGAATATCTATTTTTCGTAATTGAATCCCCCATTGACTTCACACCAAACTATTAATTTCTTATTTTCTATGTCCTAAAATAGGTGGTATATTAGAAATCAAAAAATGCCACATATTGGCTTCCTAAAGATTGGAGTGTACGTGAATCCCTTATGAAACAAAGGAAATGATCTATTTACATTAAGTATTTGATCATTTCTCAAAAACTGTTTGATCATTTCTTCATTTATACTCCCTTCGTTCTTAATAACACTTCCCCTTTCATTTTTCTATTTCCAACAAAATACTTCCATTTCCTATTAAAAAACCACTTTTACCCTTACTTTTTCATACCCTACCTATCACATCATACATTTTCTCTAATAACATATCCATCACATCTTACTTTTACCCATCATATCAAGGGAAAAATTGGAAGTCAACTACAATTTAACACTTTCTTGTTTTTATACTTGGTCAAAATAGGAACTCTTTTTTAGAACGGGGGAGTATAATTTTAGTCTCGAAATTAAAATAGTTTTTTTTTTATTTTACATCATTATTTAAATAGCCTAGAGGAGATCTGTGATGCTTGTATAGCCTGGCAGTTGGGGTGTCCAACTTTGGAGGACCTAACTTCGAGTCCAACCAAAATTTGCCACGTGTGCTCTATTTTGTCACCTGCAAGTTTGTCCAGGCGTCCATGTTGGAGCATCCAAGTTGGACTCCCTAACTTTGTCTTCTAGATCATTCGCGAATTTCATCTCTATTCTGACCCAGTTTTGCCCCTTTTGGTCCTCGAACATTGATTTTGACCTCCCAGAAGCTCGTTCAAGCACAAGTCTCGATCCTTTGATGATTGTTTCTCTTTTTTCTCAAGTATTTGAAGTTAAAATAGATGATTGAAGATGATTTCATTTGGAATGCCTTTTTATAACTCTAAGAACGAAAACAAGAGTTTTATTAATAGAAAACACATTTTATGAGATGATTATGTACTATTTACGTGCAATAATGTTTAGAATATAAAGTAAAAGATAAGAACAAAACAAACTTATCAAATTCCTCACATTTAAACATTGTTTGCCCTAAAGAAATAAATTGAATTACTATAAGCATAAAGGAAATTAGTGATCACAAAGAAAAAGCTTAAGCTACATCTTATGAAGGAAAGAATAAGTAAGATAGTCATCAACCTTTTGTTAAAAATAAATGAACTTTTAGATTCTCACCTATATTGTTAGAAATGTAAAAGTGTTTTGTCAAACTCACACTTTTATACCAATCTAAACAATCAGAACCTTTCAAGTCTCCTTAGGATAGTCACATTAATAAGAGTAGTTTAAGATCGAAAAGAATTTAATGGTTAACTTAGAAAACAAGTTCTTGCAAGAGTAATTGTCAAAACGTAACCATTTTATCTTTTTTAGCTTAACTTTTTCATATTGACATGAGAAACATTTCTATCCTCATCCCGTGACATAGAACCACGAGCTTTTTGGATAGGCACTCTGGGAAGTCTCATCACGCGACATAGAACATCATGCTTTTTGACTTTAACACTTAAAAGGTCTCATCATGCGAAAAAGAACCACGTACTTTTTGGCTTACTCAGCTAGCCTCATCAGTTGACATAGAACTAACTGCTTTTTGGCTAAAACAAGTTAAGAATCTCGGTCTCACCAAAGTATGCTTTGAAATGTAACCCCTTATAATTTGAAAATAACTCTTTTACAAAAAAAGATTTTCACTTAAGCAATTAAAAATTTTTTGATCTTAAAAACTTTTGGAAAATCGTGATTTTATTCCAAATAAGCAATTTCAAACCACTTTTCGAAGAGGTTAGAGTAAAAATAGAACTTTGACAAGAATGTTAAAAATTTCCAATTTTTATGGGTGATAATTATTAGAAATGAATTAACAAAACAAATAAGATTGATGACTATTTTATAAGAGGCCATTTCAACCATAAACTCCTGCCTCCTCACACTTAAACAAAACCATGCCCTTGCGGTTAAAAGGTGCTTTTTGAATTAGACTTAATGGTTGGAATATCCACATGCAATTACTAGATTGTCTTCACACTTAAATAATTCAACTATGATGATTGAAATAGTAATTAATCAGAATCATAAAAAAATATGGGGAAAGGGCGTAAAGCACAAAGAACTTCCCCAAATTTGTTTCAAAAGTGTCTTAACCAGGAATTACAGATAGAATAAATTTTAGATCACCAAAATCTTTTTCAAAATAGCCGAGATAAATGTCAAAAAAAGAGAAGTTACTGAGAGGAATAGGAGCCAAAAAGTCTAAAGGCATCAGGTTTCCTCTCAATAACCCATTTTAACAAAGACTGCTAGATCATGAAGCATCAGAGGCTGCCGAAACTTTGTGTTTCCCAGGTGGGAAACTTCTTCTTTGCTTCCTTTGTCTATAAGGAAAGCTTGATCCCCTGCAAGGTATGCCTTGCGGTCCCCTTATTTGCAAAAAAAAATAAAGAAACAAAATAACTCATGCCACCAAAAAATTGGTACACAAGCATAACCTCAAAAACGTAGTTAAATACTTTTTTTCATTTTAAATAGGGGTTGCCTCCGGTTAAGCACTTATTTTTGTTAGAAGAAGCGCATACCCTAGCCTTATAATGCATTCATCACACAAGCGCCAACGAAATTCGATTGTGACTTGGCCCAAATAGCCTCCGCCACAGGATAATTGCTGCACACATGGCCATTAATCTCCCCCTCAACAATCGCTTTCGCAGGGAATCGAACTCGTGACCTTGGCTTCGATACCACTTGTAGGACCTCATACACTACCATGTCTTCTACAACCAACTGGTGTTAGGAGAAGCACATACCCTAGCTTAATAGTGCATTCATCACACAAGCGCCAACGACATTCGATTGTGACTTGGCCCATATAGCCTTCGCCAAGGGACAATTGCTGCACACATGACCGATAATGGTATCGAAGCACGTGTCTACGCCTATGTCGTACTAAAGCCGTCCTCGTTTTGTTACAGGTTTTGATAATTCCAAACCGCCGCGAATATGAGAAGACA